CCTAACAACAACAACAACACACTGGAGAGCAAGTTTCAGTGTCTCTTCTGACATCCATTTTGATCTTTTCCTTCTTTCTTGTCTTCTCAATGACTTTTGCTTTCTTCACATATGATGTTCTTGATATCATCCCACAACTCTTCTGGTTTTCAGTCTTTAGTGTTTATGTATCAAATCTGTTCTTCAGATGATCTCTAAACTCAGGTGGGATTCAAGGTCATATTTTGGTTCTTGTGGGCTTGTTTTCATTTTCTTCAGCTTCAGTTTGAGTTTGCAGATGAACAATTAATGGTTTGTTCCACAGTCTGCCTCTGGCCTTGTTTTGATTGATGATATGGAGCTTTTCCATTGTCTCTTTCTGCAAATGTAGTCAATTTGATTTCTATGTATTTCATCTGGTGAGGTCTATGTGTATAGTCATCTCTTATGCTGTCTAAAGAAGTCATTTTAAATGAACAAATCACTGGTTTTGCAGAATTCTATCATGCATTCTCCAGCATCATTTGTATCACCAAGGCCATATTTTCCAACCAGTAATCTTTCCTCTTTGCTCCCAACCTTTGCATTCCAATCACCAGTAATGATCAATACATCTTGATTGCATGTTTGATCAATTTCACTTGAAGTAGTTGATAGAATTCTTCTATTTCATCCTCACTAGTTTTAGTGGTTAATGCGTGAGTTTGAGTAATAGTGGTATTAAATGGGCTTCCCTGTAGGCGCATGGATATTATTCTGTCACAGACAAAGTTATACCTCATGACTGGTCTGGATATGTTCTTTTTGATGATGAATGCAACACCATTTCTCTTCAATTTGGCAGTCCTGGTATAGTAAACCATGTGGTTGTCAGATTCAAAATGGCCAATATCAGTCTATTTCAGCTCACCAATGCCTAAGATATCACTGTTTATGCATTCCACTTCATTTTTGACAACTTCCAATTTTCCCAGATTCATATTTTGTACATTCCATGTTCTGCTTTTCAATAGATGTTCACAGCTGTTTCTCTTCATTTTGAGTTGAGTGCCATCAGCAAATGAAGGTCCCGCGGGCTTTTCTCCCATGGGCTTTAGTCCATTCAGGTTATCACGGACAACTCTACTTTGAGGAGGCAGCTCTTCCCCATTTGCATTTTGAGTGCTTTCCATCCTGAGGGGCTCATTTTCCAGCACTATATCTAACAGTGTTTCTCTGCTATCCATAAGATTTTCAGTGACTAAATATTCAGAAGTAATTCGTCACTCTTTCTTCCTAGTCTGTCTTTGTCTGGAAGCTCATCTGAAACCTGTCCACCATGGGTGACCCTGCTGCTATTTAAAATACCGATGGCATAGCTTTCAGAATCACAGCAACTCACAAGCCACCACAGTACGACAAACTGGCAGGCAAGTGGTAGCCATTTGGTTTTAAGTGGAAACTGTCACTTTAAATTTTGAGGCGATCTGTGCGCATGCATAGTAGACCCCTCCAGGGGAAGGGGTAGGGTGTCCATTCGCTTAGACAAACCCTCTAGTCACCAGAATGGAGGTGCACAGACAGTGAGAGACCAATGAACAGATACCAAAAAAAAGAATGTCCACACCTGTATTTCCGTGGTTCTATCAGGCATTCATGGCTGTTCTGATCCTTCCCCCGTTTGGTCTCTCCCAAGATGGCGACTCCAGGAGCAGCTGAGCATCTTGAATTAGAAAGTAATGGATTTCTTGATTCTGCTACAAATTCCCCTCGCTGTAAGCCTTCCAAGCTTCTAAATGTTCATTTATACGTGGTTCAGAGTTCTAACACCATTCCCTGAGCCTGCCTGGTCCTGTATTCTGTGTTGTTGCTGATGGAGCTCCTTACTGCGCATCTACCTGATCTTGAACAGACTTTTGGAGAAGACTAGATAGCTATATATCATAAATGTCTGTTGGTTAAATAAGATCACTTTAAAAAATGGAATTGCAATTGCTTTGATAATCTTAACAGAAGAGAATTTGAAATTAGGAATGACTGGACTCACCTATTGTAAAGATATTAAATTTTTAAATATTTGTAATTAAAATATTATTAATTTATTAAGTACAAGAAGTCCCCAAGCTTCAGAGAGATTCCATTCTGATATCTTGAGCATAAATTTTTTCTGTCATAAGTCAAATGCCACATTTTTGTTTTAGCATGTTTTTTGGCAATGTTTTATATGGTAAATCATTACATTGAAAATATGCAAGTGAACATGTGAAAGTAATAACATCAGCAAATTATACACTGTAACATTGCATATAGTACATATTACTACTAATAAGATATACTTAAAAAAAAGAGTGCAGATGTTTATAAGTGTGGTTCATGGTAAGTCAGGACTAACTGTAGTTTGAAATACAAGCCTAATTATTGTGCAAATCATTATATGATTGGTAATTAGGAAATACTTAAGGTACATTTCTTCAAACTAATAAAAATAATCTTCTGTTGTAATAATGTTTTCTAACTGGAGTATGGACAAAATAAATTATATTATTTTAATATAATATGTAGCTAAATATACCATAACTTAAACATTCAAGAAGTTTATACAGGGTCACTTGAATCTCCAAATCTCCAGCTTTATATCCTAAGCTTTGTTCAATGTTAAAGCATTCAGATATATAAACAAAGTGAGTTTTTTTGCCAAGGTAATTACTAACAATAAATATGTAAAGCATCTCACAGCTAGTAAACTGATTAACAAAATCACTAGAAAGACATTTTTTAACAACTATATGGGTTTCTGGGCATTGGGAATACTGGTAACTTGAATTATCCATTTTTATTCACATGAAACTGATTGTGCAAACAGAATAATCCATCCAAAATTCCTCAGTAGCTG